TGCTTGTCTATTTGTGTAGTTATAGCTATTATACTAGCTTTTTAACCATGGCTAATCTTTATCTTCTATATGAACTCTACTAGAAGGAGCAAAATTCAATATTGTGTTTGATTAATTTACCTCTTTTCACAATTGAATTACCTCGTGACAATTATGAAATTGAGAGAATAAGCTGAAGTTATAATCTACAGGCAAAAATCTGTACCGTAACTCTCTCTTCATGCGATACCAAGTACTAATCGGTATTTTTTGTTGGAGAATTCGATTAGTTTGAAGTTGATCCTACCATACCACATCACCACCTTGCAACTTGCAAGCCACAAAAGGAATTTGCTTTCCATCTGAGATAGATTGGATCTAAAAATTCTTCTTGACATTGTTCAACCAACCTAAAACTTCTTCAATATCAAGATTATCCAAAAGTAAGGAATTTCCTTAACTCTTGTGTGATAATCCTTCATATTCTAAATTCTCATCATCGATGAGCATGAACACTAGCTCTGGCGTGTTGGTCACAGGAACATCTCGAGCACACACCTCGTCATTGACTTTGTTCCGAATCCATTTGTTCATGATAGTAGTCAAAGTTCCTCATTACGGTGACGATTTTTTCAATATGTAGCCCTTGGTCATCAACTCGCTGTGAAAGATGAGGGGAAGGATGTATAATTTCATTATCATTGGTAGCCATAGTAGGAAACAGTCTGTCTCTGAGTACCAATTGATGTAGCGGAAACATAATCAAAAGAGATAACTATTCATCCTCGTACAAGCAAAATGACACAAATCCTAGAAACCCTAGCACTGTGCTTGGATAGGGTTTAGAGGGTGAAAGTTAAAAAGTAAAATTTTATTTTCAACTTGTTTGGGAGTTTTTTTGAGGGGTTAGGGATGGAACAAAAGGTTAAATTTCCTCACGTTTTCCTTCCTCCAAATTTAGGAGGTAGATGATGGAATGGAAACCAATAAAAATTTACAATATAATACGACAATTTTACTCTTATGATGTTAAAATCAATGGCTAAGATAAACTCTCATCTAATGGAATTAACGGCTCAGATTTGGCGTTATCTATTATCAAATCCCTAATTTTTTTCTCCGCCTCTCTCCCCCTTCTCTCTCATTCCGCCTCTCTTTTTTCTCCACATTTTTACTCTCTGGTCATCTTCCCCTCTAGTGTCACGTCGTCGACTTCATCAACTCCTCCAGCGCCATCCACGACCTCAGGTTTGATTATTTTTTAGGCTAATAACTTTTTTGCTAAGTATTTTCACATTTTCATCATTTATTGATCTCTAATGTCACTCTATGCCCTGGTCGGTCTCTCTCCTTTCAAAAAAGTCTGGAACCTTGGGTTATTAATTGGTGGAATACTATACAATTTGAAACTTTTTTGAATGATGTTCAAGATTCATTAACATATGTTATTTGGACAAATTTTCAAAACCAACCTGTTTGTCAAAAAAAAATCTAAAAAAAGACTCATTTCAAACTTAATTTCAAAAACCGACCCAGTTGGCTGAAACTGGGTCGGTTTTTTAAAAAAATGTTCCCAAACTTCACGAGAGTTGAAGTCCCGTGAAGTTTTGTTATATAAAAAATTTTACGAGACTTCAACTCCCGTGAAGTTTGAGATTTTTTTAAAAAACCGACCTAGTTTCAGCAAACTGGGTCGGTTTTTAAAATTAAGTTTGAAATGGGTCATTTTTGGGGAATAAAATTCAAAACATGTCGGTTTTAAAATTTTATCCTATGTTATTTTCCCCCTTTTCATTGATGTATTTCTCTACATTTATATTTATTTCTACATGATCTTGATCCAATTTTGTTCAAGAAATAATTATTCTTCATATTTCATAGTTTTCTAATTTATAATCACATTACAAATGCTATTTTTTTAATAAATCTAAATTTTTTAATAAATCTAAATTTTTTATTAAATCTAAAATTCTATGAATTAATTAGTTTGTAAAATATCAAATAGTAAATCTAAAACTTCAAATCTAGAATTTTTTTGTTATTACATGTAGTTGAATAATTGAATAATTAAATCTGAACTTTTCTATTACTAGGTTGAAATTATAATTAATATGTTACATACTTAGAAAATAAGATGCTTCCTTACAACTCTAATTATTAGGTCTTAATTAGGCATTACATTTAAATATTAATCAATTAATACTCTAAATTATATTGTAAATAAATAATCCTAATCATTTAATTTTAAATAGTTATAAGATAATTTTAATTTTTGTTGTTTTTTTTGCTTAAATTTTTTCCATTAATCATTTCAAACATTCATTTTTAATTTCTTATTCTAATTGTATTCTTTTCAACTCCTCACATAGATAATGGATGGCGTATGGATAAGATTTCAACATGCACATAATCATGGAATTAGATACCTTATTTTTTAATTTGCGTATTGGTTTATACATCAAAGACAAAATAGAAGGAGATTAAGTTGTGAACCCCAAGATCCTAGAGAAGCAAGGGATATATGGTGCTAGAAATAATATGGCAAAGAGCATTCTTATGAAAATGATGCATCGGGCATCTATTCCTCCACCGGCCCATTATTAATTAGCTTCCACTTACTCTTCTAGAGTATGGTTTATGTTTCTATTTTCTAAATTGTCTTAACTTTTTCTGAATGTCATTTCGTTATGTGTTGACAATCACAGACTTTAATTTTTGCTTATGTATGACAATTTTTTGCTAACTTTTTGGTGTTTATATCAAAATTTTGGTTAAAAATTGGTGGTCGACTTTTATAAGAACATGTACGGAATGTTTGATATTTGTAAACTTTATATATTAGAAATTAATGTGATGACTCTATATTGTGTTTTTTCAATTATTTTATATTAGCTCATGTTATTTTGACAAGCTCATGTTATATCGTGATTATGTGTATAGTCATGTTAAATTATTTTTGATAAGCTTGTTGATATTATGTGCTAGGTTTTTACTAAAAAGTTTATGGTGTACATTGTTTTCATCAATTTTGTAAGTCTATATATTGAGCATGACGTAATGAACTTAAAAAATTATACTGGTGTCAAATATCATCATCATCATAATATTATTATTTTATAGTAAATTTAATAATAATAGTAATACTAGTAGTAATAATAGTATAATAATAGTAATAGTAGTAGCAATAATAATTGTAGTAGTAGTAATAATAATATCAATAATAATAATAATAGCTATAGCTTTTTTTATTATCATTTACTAGTTTATACAAAATACCTTAATAATATGTAAGGGTACTTATGTAACTTTATATATTCACTTCACTTCTCTCTTCTTTATTAGAACTCCCAAATAAGATAAAACAAATTTATTTCCACTCCCCTTACTAAACTACCAAACAACATTTTATCTTTTCACTCTCCTTCACCACATTTCCTTTCCATTATTTAACCTTTTGTCCATTCCCTTAGTAATCTCCCAAACAAATTGCATAGGAGTAGAAAACTTCTGAAATTAATAATAATCAATCTAAAACCCTACATGAATTAGCTCCTCTTACATAAGGTACAAAACAATGAAAAAAATACCACACTATCCTTTTCCTAAAGCTAAAAGAAATCCTTACATAAAAAACTTTCTATAAAAACTAGAAAACTGAAAGTAACCCAGAATTCCATGCGCAATTAAGTCTGGAGATGAATACATTTGAACATGAATATTATCTGACCATTATTTTTATGTACAGAGTATTTTCCGAGCTTTCCAAAAACATATAATAATAAAGATTCTATGGAGCAAGCCAAAAGATTTGATCCTTCAAAATTGCATCTTAGATTTTGCCTGAAAATACTCTTTCGCTTCATTCGTCTCGCTTTCGCATGATCAGATTTCTTTCAAAAAATATCGATTATTTCCTCAATGTCAAATTTGTCCTTAAAAATTAAGGAGGACCACATAACAAATTTAGTTTATGGATAACTATTAGATTATTTATTTTGGGTTCTTTTTATTTGATTAAAATTATTGAATTTTGAATTTTCTACGTATGGATAGATTTAATTTGATAAAAATTCTTAGATGAATATAGAATTAGGTGTCCAAATATAATCTTCTCATGTTTTTTATGCCTTTAGAAAAACCACCAATTTCTCATTTTATATAAAGGAGAGATATGATTATAAGATTTTTGTTAGTTATGGATAGCTACAATCTGATAAATATTACAAAATATTTGATTATTTTACAAATTTCTAATTATGGATAGTTTTAATTTGATGATGATTCGGTGAACATAAGATTACGTATCCACGTGTCATCTTTTGATATAATAAGTTACATATGAATATTTATGATATAACACATGTCAATATTTTGCCTTTCTACCAATTTCTCTTTAAAATTTATCCCTCAAATTATCGAATTAACTTATAAGAGCCGGGGGACTTAACAACAATCTCAATGATTAGAGGGACTAATTTCAAAATAAATTTGGACTACAGTAATTTATCGAACAATGTACTTACTATAGCATAAACAGTAATTTTTGGGTTTTCCTTTTTAAGTATAGACAGAAGAGTAGATAGATAATAAGGACAAATTTTCAAAACCGACCTATTTGGGTTTTTAATTGTAAAAAACGACCGGTTTTGAAAATATTTACAAAAACCGACCTGTTTTCAGCCAGGGGCTGAAAACAGGTCGGTTTTTTTAAATTTTTTCGGGAAACTTCACGGGAGTTGAACTCCCGTGAAGTTTTTTCTCATAACAAAACTTCACGGGAGTTGAACTCCCGTGAAGTTTGGGAAATTTTTTTTTAAAAACCGACCTAGTTTCAATCAACTAGGTCGGTTTTTATAATTAAAATTAAAATAGGTCGTTTTTTGTAATTAAAAACCCAAATGAGTCGGTTTTGAAAATTTGTCCTAGATAATAATAGATTGTGCTAGGTATGACCAAAATGAATCGGGTCTAGTTGGGTCAGACCCGAAACCCGACACTGTCCATTAGAACGCGCTGAGACTCCTGCAGACGGTGGAAAATGGCGGCTGTAATCCAAGAGCTAGATCCTCGCAAATGCCCAGAAGCGATAGAGGAGGTGGTGAGATTGGAGAAGAAGATTTTCCCGAAGCACGAATCTCTGTCGGGTTCATTTCACGAGGAATTGAGGAAGAAGAACTGCGGATTGATTTATGCTAAACTGGGAAAAGGTGAAGGCGGAGGACAAGAGGAGGTCGTTGGGTACGTTATGTACTCCTGGGTCTCTTCTTTATGCGCATCCATCGCCAAACTTGCAGGTGAGATTTTTTTTTAAAAAAAATTGTTTTTTTTTTGGGTCTGTTTTTGGGCGAAAGATGATTGTTTTGTTACATGGGTTCGTGATAGCTTGTTCCCAAATTAATTGAGTGGAAATTGGTGACTAGAGTAATTTATTTTGACCCATTTTCTTGTTGATGGCAATATGACATGCTTAATTGAGCTTTTGTTGTGTGCTGTATAATAATTTCGAATTTATTTTTATTGCTTGCGTTTTCTGCATTTTTATGGAGTGCTCATGCTTCATCCCATAATAACATCAACGGAGTTTGTATGTAGACTTAAGCCCTGCTTAGTGTGCTACGGTGTGCATTGTTCGAGGCTACATTCTTCAGTTGGGGTCCTTTTATAACTCTCCTGATAATCTCGGCTCTGATTGATCATGTGCATCACAACAATAGTTTTCTGCCTCGTCTCTGTTTATGTTTGCTAATGTGCACCTCCTCTGCGATTCATAGTCTGAACTATGGACGTAAGGATCTTATTTTGACTTGAATGCACGGTGTCGACTCACTGCGATTCGTCGAAATCCATAGTCGAATGCATGACTATATTCACCTAATATTGAGCATGAATGGCCTTTTCCTTGCACAGACAATGCTTGAGGTGATTCCATGTGAACATCGTATTGAAGATCTCCACTCAAGAAAGCCATTTTCGTATGCGCTTGACGTAAAATCGTACAAATTAATTGGAGAGAAGGTCTCTCTATAATCAATTCCCTATCTCGAGTGAAACCTTTTGCTAGGATTGGGCTTTATGAATCTTCAAATTGCTCTTAGTTCTCTTTTAATTTTGAAAACATGTTTGATTCGAACAGGTTCTACTCCATTTAAGTAAAGGGACAAGATCCTAAAATTGATTTTTATCCATAGAGCATGAGGCTATAATAAGGCATACCCACTCTTGATGACTTACATAAATGTGATTGGGCTATTTTCATTGAAGCTCATTATTTGGCTCTTGAAAGATAAAAGTAATCAGGTTAGGTGTAAAGGTAGATATACTTCTCCTTGTAGCCTCCTATATCTTTTCTCTTAATTGTCATGAGGTAGCTGGACGGGTTCCAGTGACTCTTTATGGAGCCACACAAGGGGAGGAGACATCCTCTTGACATGTTTCAATTAAGATAACCATGCATTTAGTCCAATGCTATGCGGGTACTTCTACCATGAAGCCATACCGGTACCTGACATGTATTCAACACGTACACGTACGCGAACTCGTGGGCACTCCTTGGATATATGCATAAATTTATTTTCAGACACATACTCAATTGTATGATATATGTTTTAATTTATAATACTTGTGATACACTTCTTGGACATATATCCTAAACCTTGTGTTCATTTCTTAAAACTCGTTAGACATCGGTCGGGTTTGTTTCAGCACATATCTAAGTTAAAAACTATAATTTAAAAGGGCGGTTTAAGTATCTGTTAAAATATGAGTAGTTTCCATTTTATAAATCCAACATTATAAAAGAAACTTAAAATATGATAGGAATCTAAATTCAAATAGCACATGCATTGCAAAATAACAATGATCTCAAGTAAATTATTATTTTCCATACACATGTAGCTGTGTCCCCGTACCCTATATTTCACAAATTTGCCATGTCCTGTACCCATACTAGCACCCGTACCCGTTTCCATGCAACTTAGAATTTTGATCACTCTACTATTATGAAACTCGTATTCCATTACTCCTCAAAATCAAATTATTGATGTAATCTACTCTTGGCCGTCTTCTAGGATTTTTTTTCTGTTCTAAATAATGTTTGGTGCTTGGGGTAGATTTCTGTGCTCACATGTAATTTTCTTTTTCAAGTACCCACTAGCTTGAGTTAGGAACTAAATTTCTGTAACGTTTCCGAGGTTACGATAATGACAACTTATTTTCTCTCGTACAGTGAAGGAAAATCACAGAAAGCATGGTTATGGAGAGGCTTTGCTGAGAGCTGCAATTCAAAAATGTAGAACGAGGAAAATCCAACGGGTTTGCCTTCATGTCGATCCTACAAGAACTCCTGCGGTTTCCCTTTACAACAAGCTGGGTTTCCAAGTTGACGAACTCATTGAATGCTATTATTCTTCAGATAGGAGTGCTTACAGAATGTATTTAGATTTCGATGATTAGAAACAAACTTAATAGTAACAATTTCATTTGGTGCCCAAAATTGTTCATTTTTTCTAATTTTTCATGTAGATTACTGTTGTATTTGTTGTTGGGGGTGTGGTTGGGGGTGTGCCTCTAGCATTTTCCTAATATTTACTAGGCTTAATTGCATTTAAATAGCCTGTAACTTCCCCTACTTAGTACTTATATGCCCTCAATTGTTCGTGACGGCACTTATATACCCTGAACTTTTTTAAACCTTGCATTGTAAATTTGTAATACCGTAAATTATGCAAACGTGGAGAATTCAATCCTCATGCAACACTTAGCGTGCCAATTATAAAACGTTTGACCCTTTATTTTGTTAAATTTATAGTTAAAACTACAATAATTGTATTTTAAACATAATGCCCAAATTCTATTTTAAAATAGAATTTTGATAGGTTTGGTAGGAAATTAATAAATATTAAGATCAAAATGTTCTAAAGTCAGCATGTGAGTATCACACGAGAATTTTTCAGGAAAAAATTCTCGTGTTTCAATAACATGAGAGTATTAAAAGATAAATTTAAAAACACTATGGTATATAAGTGTTGCCAAAAATAAATGTACCTCTTTCTCTCTATTATATACATATTTGAAGAGGGTTTCTCACCCTGTTTTTAGTTTCAAAAAAAGAAAAAAGGGAAAAAGTGTAAAGTACAGGATATTTAAATGCAATGAAGCCAAAACTAAACAACATAATTTAAGGGTTAGTTGGGGACAGACCCCCTCTACTATCACCCAGTCGCTGATAAGCCCCCCTGCAGTTATAACTGTGCAGATGAATCCCTGCACTATATCTCCAAGTGCGGAAAGACCCCTCAGTAAATTTTTTTAATACTTTTAAGAGTTTAAGAATTGGTCAATTATGCACCATTAGAACTGCAGGTGAGTGATCTATCCACCTCTGAGGTTTTATTTTGGACTTTTTTGAGTGCTAGAAATTTTTCACTCGGGAGGTCTATCCGCATAATTAGAACTACAGCCGATCTATTTCCACTTAACCCTTATCAAAACTTAAGGGTGTGTTTGGATTTCAATGGGGTCAAGAGAAGTTAAGGGAAACTAGGTGAGAGAAGGGAAGAGAGTTCCCTTCCCCTTGGTTACACCCCAATTTGGGGTAACAAATTTTATACTATTAAGGGGTGAACCAATGAGAACTAGGATGGATAACTTCTCCCTTATTCCCATCCAAACAAGCCATAAATTTCCGAGGGGTTTAGTGATAAATTTACCTCCCTGTATCATCCTCAAACAGGAACGGTCGAGACCCGCAGAAGATATGATACTAACGGCCCTCCCTCCTCCTCCTCTCCCCAAATTTACCAAAAATCTCCAGAAATCCTCTCCATTTTCATCAATTTCAATTTCTGATGGAATCAAATGCACCCTTTTGAATGCACTCGAACTCAGGAAGCGTGGAGCTGTTCTCTGCACGAAAGAGGACAGTGCCAATGACGTGTTCGATGTAAGTCCCGAGCCAGTAATGTATATAGAAATCTCATATTTCTCTTTGGATTCTAATGCAAATTCATGATTAGAACGACTTTAACGTGGTATTATAATTTGGGTACCGCTCAATTTTGCTTTTCTTTAAATTCTTATATCCATTCATTCATTCATTCATTCATTCATTCATTCATTCATTCATTCATTCATGAGAGAGAGAGAGAGAGAGAGAGAGAGAGAGAGAGAGAGAGAGATTATAATGTAGTTGTTATAACTTGGTATGCTCAATTTTGATGAATTCTCGAACATATTACCTCAAGTTGTTCTAGGATTTTATCTTGTCTAGATGTCACTAAAGAAACTTGGCCTTTGCTAAACAATAAGCATAATGGTTGTGATATAAAATAAGAATTCTTTTCCTCTTAATATATTTTATATATGATGAATGAAAATGGAGATTTGCTCTTGTATTTTGAGTGCGTTAAGGTGTCCAGCCTATATGGGTAAGGATGATATTTATATATGTTCTATGATATGTTGAGCTCACAGTTGTGGAATTCTCAGTAACATTGATGAGCCAATTCTATTGACGAATTGTGTCAAGTGTCTTATGGAATGTTTGTAAAAATTACTAGGCTATCTAAAGATGAAATAGTTTTGCTTAAGACTAGAACTATTTCAAAGAGAATATCTGTTTGTGTTTAAATGCTTTATTTGGTAAACTTGTAAATTCTCTGTATGTTAGACTTGTATACGTGTGAAATTGTAAAACAACGTTACCACTTACAAAGTAGAAAAGCCAGAAAAACAACCAGCAACCAAGCCCTTTGTTCCAGTTCCTATGGCCGAGCTATGTGATTTTTTTCTCCAGTAAGCTATGTTGAGTGCTACAACAAAGGTTTTGATCTCAGGATGATAGCCACCAAAAGAGCTTGGTAGTTGTTAAAATGGAGTTTTTATAATTAAATTTTGTTCAGTACACAACCCTGTCATTTGAAAAGTGTTGGTTGACTATGCCACAAGGTAATTTACTGTCTGTTTCCAGTTTTTAGCATAGGAAACTGTTAACGTGAGATGATGTAGCATCTAGGATTAATAAACAAGGGGATTTATCAAATATGTACATATATCATATATAACAGATTAAGTTTATCTATCTGATATAATAATTAGAAAATGAAAACGGAGAGCATTCTTGTTTCCTATTTAATGATTTAACACAGATTGAGATGTTTCTGAAAGAGTGATTAGGAATTCCTTTCTTGGATTATCGTTATGTGATCCATTTTTGTGAAAAATTCCAAACAAAATCATCTATTACTGTGATCTAATGGACCATAGGAGCCAGCGACTGTAGATTTGCTAATATTAGTGACGTCATAGTTGTTATTCTAAGAAACAATGCCTCTCCTCTGAGGTGTGATATCTTCATTATATTGGAGCTTTCTTTTGAGTGCAATCTCCTTCATCTAGATTCTAGAGTTATCTAATCTTCTTTTCTATGTGACATCTTTGCCTTGATTTCATTAGCCTTTTTATGATACATCGTCATCATTTAAATTTTAAGAGATATTCTAGATTTATTATAATAATCTAGATGGTGAATAATTTAAATTATAAAGTTGTCAAATAAACTTTATAGAATGAAAGAACATGATCATTCTGTCATGTTTTATTGTTCCGATATACAAATGAGGACCTGCATTGTTTTCCCTTCATCATTTTGACTCATGGAAATTATTTTGATAATAGATGGTTTCCTTACTGAGAAAGCTTACTTGGGAAACAAGGAAAAGCGAGTTGCCTATAATTATGGAGAAATATCTTTCTTGGACTTCAATCAAAATTATGAGAATATGAACACAATATTCAATTAAATTGTTGACCTCTGTACTGATGGCTCCATCCATTGAAACAGAATATAAGGATGTATTATCATACCGTTGTTCACTATTTTGTCAATAACTTCCAAGTAAAAGGAAATCTTACCAGATACTCTCATGCTTCTCGGTTAACACACACAATTAATGCAATTAAAACAAAAGGCACTATAAATTGTGCCAAAATTGTGAGAACAATATGGCAACTTTATAAATGAACGGGGCTTGGTATCCAAAATGTTCCCTTTGGTCATTCTTCACATTTGCAAGAGAAGTCATCCAGAAAATATATACTGATCAAAGTCAGTAAATTATGGGAAGACCCATCTAATGGAGATTAGCAGCACACCCGCTGAAGATGCACTTTCTACCATGGCGACTCCATGAAATGTTCGCTCATGTTAGGATTGTCTCAGCGGTGTGCAATGCTTGCACAATATCTACATATTTTATTTCATGTGAGGCAATATTTAATTTCGATTTAAAATTTGTAACATTATCTATTGGTGTTGTAAAATTTCTATCATTTTGAAGGAACTTGAATAGAGTGCTATGAGTTTCCAAATTGGAGGAAATTGAGATTTTTTTCTGTATTTTTTGAAGAGACACAAAATAAAATGTATCATTTCAGATTTATATTATCTTAAATTTCATGTAATGAGCTCCTCATATTTTCTCTTATCCTTGAGAACTCATTGGAGTTGTTAGATGTTAAATATGTTGAATAGATATTGCACGGGGGACATATTTGATTCTCCTCTTCATTTTCATGATTCGAATAACTAGCTTAACTAGAAAATTGGAATCCAGACAAAATTGATAGACTTTTGCAATATTAAAAGTGGTGAAAATTTCAAAGCATAAGTTTATAATATGTTGAATTTTCATTTTACTTTCCTGTAAATTGTTGAGCTATGCTATAAGATTCCGACTTTTCATTCGGTTGCTAGCCACCACTTCTCTTGCTTTTTATTGACATCTATACAATAGACAGAATAGGGCAATTTTTTATTAAAACATTTTAATTTAATTGAAAAAATTATGAGATTATTGTTCATTTACAAAAGAGATCAAATTAGCATGTTCAGCATCACTGGTAAAAAGCCAGAATTCCTAACCACATTTTTATTAGTGTAGTCAGTTGATTATTAAATACTATATATGCTATGCTTGTCTACTGGTCCTAACAATTATGTAATCATTATGTACTTAACAATATTATTCACACCCTTTTCCCCTTAAACATGCATCGCCCATGCATAATACATCCTAATGTTAACTAATCTAAACAACATAATTTAAAATTATAGAAATGATTCTAAAATCAGATGAGTGGGATTTGTTGACAAATTTCCATTTGCATATAAATTTTAAATAAAAAAGGTCCAGACCCATTGATGATATGATATATTAGCAGCCCTTTGTCCTCCCCTCTTCCCAATATTTGCTACCAACCTCGAAAAAACTTCCCCATCTTCTTCAAATTCAATTTCTTATAATACCAAACAAACCCATTTGACTTCAATGGAACCAAAGAAGTACAGAGTTGTTCTTCGTACAAAGAGGATAGTGCCCGTCACCTAGATGTAAGTCTCTACCTATTGGTTTACCAAATTGCATAATTTTATTAAAATTTTATACAAATTCGTGATGAGAGAGATTTTAATGCTGTACTATAACCTGGGTATGCTCAATTATGATAAACTCTTGAATCGGACTATATCTTGACTAGAACTGTTGCATTAGTGAGGAAATAAAGTTGGCTTTTGCTAAACAATAAGCTTAATGGTAATAGTATCAAGTGAGTTTTTTTTTATCATTATTATTATTATTTGCAGATAAGGCAGGGCCATTTTAATATATTGCAATTGAGGGTTTCCAGGTTGATATATGATGAATAAAAACAAGGGTATATGTTTGATTTAATCTTGAAATAAGATAGATGTAGATTTGTTCCTGTAACTCAAGCACTTAAGATGTCTGACATATATGGGTCTAGATAAAGTTATATACCTTCTATAATATGCTGAAATCTTATAGTAGCAAATTCCTAATGACATTCATGAGCCAGTTCTATTGGAAAAAATATATCAAATGTCTCAAAAAATGTTTGTAAAAATTATTTGGTGATTTAATAAAATATAGTTCCATTTCAAAGAGAATCACTATTTTTCAAAGCAATTTGTTTTGTTAAGTTTTAAATTCAGTCTGTATGTGTAATTCTAAAAAAACATCATCACGACTTCTACGTAGTACACCACCAAAACAACCAGCAACCAAGCCCTTTGTTCCAGTTGCTATAGTGAGTCAGCTATATTAATAGCCACCACAAAGATTTTGATCTCAGATGATAGCCAATTCCACAAAGCTTTGTAGTTCTTAAGGAATTTTGCTTATATTTTAATTTTTTTATATATTTGATCTCATTCATTAGGAAAGGGTTGGATGAGTATGTCAAGGAGGTATCTTACGGACATTTTTCAATTAGCAGCGTTCAAAACTTTCTTCAAAGTTTCAGATTGGAGTTTGATGTGGTCTACGCTTTCACATAGTAAAACCTTATAACTTTGATTCTGTCATTTTCTGTCGAATGCACTTAGCAGTCTCCCTTGTACATGACCATGCCATATTAACTCATTTTCCATCACCTCCAATTTTATGGTACTTATAATTTCCGACAATTTCTTTATGCACTTTTTTCTATAATCCACTCATCCATCTGAACTTATAAATTTTAGCTACCTTCATCTTTAGACATTTTTGTGGATTTTGACCTATAGGACATGGTTTATACATGCAGAAATTGAGTAAAACAATTAAAACAATTTGTTTACTTTTCATAATAACTGCATCGTGCTGATATCTTCAGATACATTAGATCAGTTTAGTAGTAGATTTCTAAAGTTTCTAATTTACTTCTGTGTCTTTTTTTAAAAATCTGATTAACAGGGTTTCTCGGTCCTTTCTTCAGATACACCATGGGATCATGACAATCTATGGAGCACATTTGGTGCATATTTCTTCATTTTGCATATTCCTTTGAGTTATGGCGGGCTCTCTATTACTGCCAACATATTGCATCAATCTGTTCTTGATCCCTTAGCAACGGTGAGAAAACTGCTCTTATTTCTGGCTATTCATTCAGAATAAAGTATCATTATCAAGATATTTTGTGATCATTTTGCATTAACTAGGACATGTGTCTAAGTGTCTGCATGCTATGCCTGGTTCTTGGAAGTCCTTGACATGTGGAATCTTCCCGAAGTCTGACATGACATGGGATGTGGGCAATTGGGCATACAAGCCTGTTGGTATTAAGCAGATATATTATATGTAATCATGTCAACAAAATAAATTCATTCTAACGTTGGTAAATTTGCCTTGCGATCTTTTATATGCGAACTTTTCTAATCCAAGTAAAAACGTGACAACTGATTCATAGAATTGATAACAATATTTTGCCAAGGATAAATAATTTTGAGGAGGGTAAAATTATTCTATTGAACTTTTTTTCTTCTTTGCTTAACTTCTTTCAACTTATAAACCACACATATATATTCTACTACAATGACTCATGGCTTTCCTACCAAGTACTCTTGAATTTCCTAACAACATTCATGCATCTGCATATTCATGCATTTGACTCCTTAAACAACTAAATGATCTTCTCAATTCCCAAGGTAATTCAATCAAGTTTATTTTTAATATTCTCCCTTAAACTTGATCCTTCAATCATGCCAATCTTGTCTCGCAATAAAGTAAACACATCATGCTTCAATGACTTAGTAAATATGTCAGCCACCTGATCTTGTGATTTCACAAACTCAAGCTCAACTTCTTTGTTCTTTACTTGATCGCGGATAAAATGATATTGAGTATCGATATGTTTGCTCCTTTCATGAAACACTGGATTTTTTGAAAGTGCAATAGCTGACTTGTTGTCAACACAAATTTTGGTCGGCTCTTCTTGTATGAACTGAAGATCTTTGAGCAAGTTTCTCAACCAAAGTGTATGAGTGACACCCTATGATGCAACAACATATTCAGCTTCACAAGTTGAAAGAGTGATTATTGGCTGCTTCTTTGAAGACTAAGTAAAAGCAGTATCGCCGATAAAGAAAGTGTAATCAGTTGTACTCTTTCGATCATCAACATCTCTGGCCCATGCAACAAGTTCAAAGTTGTTAGAACTTGAATAAAACAAGTCGAAATCTGTTGTACCTTTGATGTACCGGAGAATCTTCTTCGCTGCCAACAAGTGTGAAGATTTCGGATCTTCCATTTATATGCTCACGAGCCCAATACCATAGAGAATATCAGACCTTGTGCAAGTTAGGTAGCGAAGGCTACCAACCAAACTTTTGAAATAGTTGCATCAACTTTGCTTCCACTATCTTTCTTGGACAACTTGACTCCACATTCAACAGGAGTACTCACATGATTGCTATCCTTCATATCAAACTTATCAAGAATTGTCTTTGCATATCCTTCTTGAGAGATAAAAATTCCATCTTGGCTTTGCTTCACCTCGATGCCAAGATAATAAGACACGAGTCCGATGTTTGTCATCTCGAACTCACTAACCATGAAGCTTTTGAACTCCTCGAACATGTGTATTTATTTCCTGTAAAGATTATATCATCCGCATACCAGCATAGAATAAGAATATCTCCAGTTTTATTTATCTTAGTATATAAGGCATGCTTATAAGGACATTTAGAAAAATTATGAGCTTAAAAGTATTCTTCAATTCTCCTAAAACAAGCTCTTGGTGCTTGTTTCAAGTCATAAAGAGTTTTCTTCAACTTCAACACCTTTGATTCTTCTCCTTTCAAGTCATAAAGAGCTTTCTTCAACTTCAAGCCATAAAGAGCTTTCTTCAATTCGGCTAATAATGAGCTTAAAAGTATTCTTCTCCTTTGTTTCATGCGTGGATCATCTCCTTTCTTAATGTAACCAAGAGGCTGATCCACATAGACCTCCTCTTCAAGAACACCATTAAAAAATGCTGACTTCACATCAAGTTGATAGATTGGCCATTTGTTCTGAGCTCCTTAGGTATTAATCAATTTTATAGTTTCAAGACGAACTACTAGAGAGAATACCTCGTCATAGTCAATCCAGCCTTCTGCTTGTAGCCTTTGGTAACTAACATCGCTTTGTGCCTCTCAACTTCTCCTTTCGCATTCTTTTTCTCTTTGAACACCTATTTGACTTCAATTGCTTTCGCACCTTCTTGAAGTGTTGCAGGATCCCATATATCATTCTTCTTGATAGCCTTGATTTCTTCATCCATGGCTAAACTCCGTTTTGGATCTTGAACCGCCTCTTCAAAGTCTAAAGGCTCACAACTAGCAAAAAAGCAAAATAATGTTAAATCATCTTGATTTTTAGTTACCTCATACAACTCCTTCAAACTCCTAAATTTTTAAGGTGTTGAGCTCGATGATGATGAGGACAATGCTGAAGAAGTCATCGATTAGGACGACTGAGGTGTGGTTGATGATGATGTCGTTGGTGATGATAGAGTGGATGTCGATGGAGTATGTGCTAGAGCATATTTTTCGATCTTAGTCTCTTCATTAATGAAAGTAATCGGGCTGCTACAAATTTCTTCCTTGCTCCAGTCCCATGATTTCTCTTCGTCGAATTGAACATATCGGCTAATAATGAACTTCTTACTACACGAATTATACATCTTGTAACCCTTAGTTTTTGAATCATAGCCGATGAATACATATGGAATACTCTTCTCATCGAGCTTATTCCTCTTCTGCTCTGGAACATGAGCATAGCCAATACTGCCGAACACCTTGAAGTGGCTCACATTTGGTTTGTAACTGGTCTAGGCTTCTTGTGGAGTAATTTTTTTGAGAATCTAAGTTGGACACCGGTTGATGATGTAGACGGCGCAAGAAACAACTTCAGCCTAAAAGGTTTTAGGTACTTTCTTGCTACACAACATGCATCTTTCTATATTCAAAATAGTGTGATTCTTCCTCTCAGCAACACTGTTTTGTTGTGGAGTGTAAGGAACAGTAAGAAAATGTCGAACTCCATGTTCTTCACAATATGCTTCAAACTCCTTTGAAGTGAATTCTCTACCTCGTTCTGGTCTAATAGTTTTAAGATAAAAGTCACTTTCCTTTTCCACATTAGTTTTGAACTTCTTAAACATAGAAAACACTTCATATTTGTTCTTCAAGAAGAAAACCCAAGTCTTTCGAAAAAAAATCATCGGTGAAGGTAGGAAAATACCTATTCTCATTAATTGAGGTTGGAGTGTTCAGCCCACACACATCAGTATGTACAAATTGTAGCAGCTTTGATGCATGAAATGAAGCCTCCTTTGAAAAAGTAGCTCGATGATGCTTCCACGCTAGACATCCTTCACAGAGTTGCTCGAGATTATCAATTATTGGCAACCCTTTTACCATGCTTCTATCGGTCAATGTCTTCGGACCGCCAAAATTGAGATGCCCAAATCTCAAGTACCGTAGCCAAGCAAGATCGTTAGTACAAGCCTTCAAACATTTTATATCCCCACCTTGAAGGTTTAGCGTGAACTTTCGATTCTTCGACATATGTACTTTTGCAATCAATCTACCTCTTGGATCTTGAAGAAAAAAACTACGATCTTTTGTATGAAAATTATAACCCTTTTCTAAGAGCTGTCCCAAACTCAATGTATTGTTTTTCATATTGGACACATAATAAATATCAGTGATAAAATTTTCTTCTCCATTTTTGAGGTGAATAAGAATTTTACGTCGGCCTTTTACTGGAATCTTTGGGGGGGGGGTTATTGGTTGGGACAAGTTAGGGCCAAGTAGGATAATTGTTCTAATGGAATAATTTTATCCGTTGAGATATTTTGAGTGAGGTAAAGTGGGATAAGTTGGGATAATGAGATAATTTAAAGTTTTGATTTGATAATTCATGTACGATAATTGATGATGTGACATCTTATTAAAATATAATATTCATCTATCAATTAATTCTAAAATTAATTTGTACAATTAGTTTAGTATATTATTTAGTACGTTATTATAATATAATGCATTATTTTACTTTATACTAAAATACAATATGTTATACTATAATTACTAAGTAATATTATTAATTTGTATATTATATTATATTGTAATAGTATGCTATATTATATAATAATTGATAAAATATACTTACAATATGTAATTGATATAATAATTGATAATATTATTGTAATAGTATGCTATATTATAAATAATATTATAATATTATATATATTATATTGCCATATAATTTATATTATAATAAATTATATGTTAGTTTTATTATTTTATAAATAACAAAATATACTATGTTGTAAAATATCATATTATAACAAATATAATATAATATGAAATTTTAATACATTACATTGTAATTAGTATAATATAATAAAATTAAGTTTAATGATATTAATTATATAATCATTTTATAATTATCACATTATAATATATTATAATATTATGTATTACTTTTATTTAATATGTCATATTATAGTAATAAGCTTAATATAAAATAATATAACATATTATATTATATTATATTATATTGTATTGTATTAAATATAATATAATATGAAAAATTTATACATTACGTTATAATTAATATACTACATTAAAAATAAGTTTAATGATATTAATTATATAAACATTTTATATTTAGCTAATACGATTAGCATATACATTGATAGTTAATATATGAATGTTCCAAAATTATCTCACTCATCTCAAATTGTTCCATTATGAGAGTTGGGGTAAATTTTGGCTTGGGGGCAATTTTTTTCCGTATGAGTGGGATAATTTTATCCCGTGTGGGGTAATCATCCCACTAGTGTCCCACAAAAACAATAATACCAAAAGTCATTGACCAAATCCCATTATCTCAACCAATCCATACTACATATAAAAGAGGATTGCCTTGTCAAAACTTTTAATTTCCATTTTTACCTTTTTAAGTTTGATAATATCTCAAATGTGTTATTAGTTATAATTAATCATTCACTAATTATATATAACCTCTTATTAATTATTGATTTCATCCCTTTTTGAAAAACTTTGGTCAAACTATTATTTTATTAT